TATATATAAAAAAAATTATTAGTTTCTCATTACCTTTTATTCTTTTTCTGTTTTCTGCCTGCTAGATGGAAATGAACTTAGCTTTCAGTGGAGGATAAGGAGACTAACATAACACCAGATGGATAACTTAGTTTCTTAGCACAGTTGATCCAGCTTGTTGTGGAAGTCTCCACACAGTCCCAACCATTTGCATTGGTCTGTCTCAAATTTCAAGAGTGAATTGCTTTTCTTATATCATACCTTATCATAGACCTAAATGATTCTTGAGGCTTTATGATATAGTGGTGGTGTTCTTTTGTATTTTTAAATGTTTACTCATTAAAAATGCTTTGCATTTAATTTGACCTGCTACAGTCATTTGAGAATGAAAATACATAGATAAACACAAATACCATTTATTTAGTGTATGGAAATAAACATTAAAAATGTTTACGTTTTTGCATCCAAATGGTGGTACTTAATGGTCCGTTTTTTAAAGACTGATATATAAGGAGTTGAAAGGCATGGTTGTATTTGGTAGATTAATTAGAATGTTTATGGTTGATATTTATTTCTCAGTAAACGTTCTCCTGGGTGGGGAAACTGTAGATAAGTATTTTTTAATTCTACATCAGAGATGAATAATTCATGCAGACACTAATGCTGCTTTTTCATCTTAATTATTGCTACCTTTGTGCAAATGCTGTCATAGGATGTCAACCATGGATTAACTGAGGTAAGATCGGTTGCAATCTGGTTTCTTTTGTAGAATGTAAGGAAGTCAGAAATATGAATGTCAAGGATTGTCTGATATGTTCTTTTGGGAGTAAAGCTTTAAGTTAGCATGGCTATAATCTGAAAAGATTTTTGCAAAAATATGTAATTCTTTGTATTGAAAATTCAGAGCAGCATTTGAAAACAAGGACTGCTTTTATGATATCTACTAGCCGTAATAAAAGTTCTGAAATTGAAATGTACTAAGTGAGAGTGGTGTTTGTGTGTGTTTTGTGGTGGGTTTTTTGCTGAAGTACTAAACAATTGAAAATCTGCTTAATTTTCCTAAGATGCTTTGGTCCTGCATTGACAATGGGTAAAGACTTCTTTCCCTTTTCAGTAAAACAGATGTATTAAATGAGTACTATTACAATGGCTTCTTTAACCATGATTGTGGCTTTTAAATAAGCAGAGATATGACATGGTGCTTTCCATTCTAGTTAACAGATATTCCTGTTACAATTTGCACATACCCATTTGTATTTGATGCCCAGGCAAAGACAACTCTCCTACAAACAGATGCTGTCATACAGATGCAGGTAAGAACCTCAGGGTTGCTGTTGGTGTTGGTTTTTTGGTTTTTGGGGGTTTTTTTTAACTCTGTGTAAAGTCTTCTCTGTAAGAATGAGGGATCTAGTTTTAATCTCGGGGTATGTACATAGTAGAAGCTAATGGTTTTGTGGGTTTGGAATCTCATTGAAATTAAATTGTTTAATAGCTGCATAAATTTCTAAGGAACTTCTTTTCCTTTCAATAATGAGATGGCTTTTTCAAGGTGTTAAGAACCCATAGTACAGGTGTAAAAAAAACAAAAAACAAACAAAAAAACCCCCACCTAATTAAGCAACTAAATAAAATAACCAACCACCACCCTCATCCAAAAAAGAACCCCACCTTCTGTATGAGCAGACTTTAAATTATATATCTGTAGAACCTGGAGCTGGAAATCAATCTATCTTGTTAGAGGCAGCAGCAAGTTATTTACTTTTATTTTCTTATCTTGATAAGTGGTTTTAGGAGCTAGGTGCTGTTCTTAAGATTTCTAGTATCAGAGAGGCAACATGTTGGCACAATGCAAGTATTTAGTGCACACCTAATTTATCATTTCATCTGTTATACCACCTTCAAAATGCTGCTAGACTCTGAAGTCTGATGGCTGTCTGCAAGGCCATAGAAAATAAGCTTATCTTGCAAATCTGGCATCTACTTGGGAGAGTGGGAGTAGGTTTCCAGATCTTGCAGTTTGCAGCAGTTTTTGGCTCTTCTCCCGTTAAATGTGATTATATGTTTCTCATAATTTTTTTTCACTTCTGCTTTAAACCGAGACTTTTCTAGATAATAGATAATTGATACAAACAGTTCTATATATTGACCCATATCCCTTGTCTAGAGATAGATAACACTAGGCAGCCCTAAAGTAACTGTGAAGATCTTATGTGTTTTCATGATTCTCTAGTAGAACTGAGCCTAGTGTGATGTGGTGAACTATACTTTTGTTCAATGTTTGGATTTTTTTTAATAAATATAATCCATACCTGTTCAGTTGCTGTAAGAGTATAATAAATCATATTCTTAAAAAAGGAAAGGAGGCATGAAGGGAGGCTACTGTAAAAGTAACAGCAGTAAGAGCACCAGCCCTCTCTCCATGTTTATAATGTTTAGCATAATAAAAGTTATTGTTCTCAGTCTGAAATTAAGTGGAAGAGGTAAGTCATGCTCAAATAACGGGCTCATGTAGAAAAATATTAGCTTGCTTTTGTAGTTCATGATAAACAGCTTCTTATGCCTTTAAAAATGTGTATACACAGTTAATACCAACATTTGATGAATTCTGGGAAACGTTGATGTTGAGTGTTTCTATTAACAACATTAAATAGTATTAAAACACAAACTTTCAAGAGTTTTTGCCATATTCGGAACATTTGCAACTGTATTTTGTTTTTGAACAGTTGTAATACAAAAATTATCATGCAGATGAAATAGGTGAACAAATTGCTTTCCATTCTGTGAATTGGTTCTTAATGGATGTTTTCATGCCAGACTTGCTCTTCATTAGATGAAGTGCAGTATTTTTTTTGCTTCCTTCTGTTACCCGAAGTATTTTGTCTGGAATGTCAAAAACTGTGTTCTAAAACTTCCCTGAACATTAGCATTGATGAGGCTAATGGGTAAAGGAAGAATATTTCCTGAAGCAAATTTGGGCAAATTCAGTAGCTCTCTCTCATAATTGCTATTCTCTATTTGTGTCTTTTTAAGACAAGACTGATGGGTATTTAATGTTGAGAGGAATCTTATGTTACCTGCTGACACTTTCACTTTGGTTTCTTTCCAGATGGCTGTTGATCAGGCTCACAGGCAGAATTTGTCTTCTCTCTTTCTGCCAGTATTTGAATCTGTTAACCCATGCCTGATACTAATGGTACGGAGAGACAATATTGTAGGAGATGCCGTGGAAGTCCTAAGGAAAACAAAGAATGTAGACTACAAGAAACCACTCAAGGTATTATCAGTACATATTACTCAGCGTCTTTCACCAATGTGCAAGTAATTGAAAATATTTCTGGACAAATCTGGTTTCACAGTCTGTCTTTAATTCAGTGCTAACTGAATTGTGTGTTTCAGGTTATTTTTGTAGGGGAAGAAGCTGTTGATGCTGGAGGTGTTCGCAAAGAATTTTTTTTGCTCATCATGAGGGAGTTGCTAGATCCCAAATATGGAATGTTCAGGTATTATGAAGAATCCAGACTGATCTGGTTCTCTGATAAGGTAGGGTGTGATCTATAGTAATTAATTTTCATTTAACTTAGAATATTTATATTAATAATGTATGAACATAATAGTTTGTGGTAGTTTTATATCAAAAGAAGAAGCTGAAATAAGTATTCTCAAAAAATGTTTCTTTTTGTCATTTTTAGATCAGAAGGGTTAAAACTCTTCTGTTTTTGCCCATTCCTCACTTGCCAGTTGTCCTGAACCCATACAAGTTTAGTAGGAAGAAGTGCCAGCCAGAGCAAACTGATCCAAGAGCAGAATCAGTAAATCAAGGTGGCAGAGAAAAAGCCTTGAAGTGGCATGTTGAACGGTCTTTCTGTGTTCAGTCACATTTATGGGTCTGTTTCATAGACAGTCATCTGGTCAAACTTCCAAGAAAGTTTTGATTGTTGACATTTTAGTCCTCTTTAAGAGAGAAACACTGACTAGGCTATATCACAAATGCCTGAATGATAACATTTCCACAGTTATGTTTTAAGCTTTGACTGTTAACTCCAAGGGACTCTAGTGAGCTTCTTCTTCCTCCCAAAAATATTTTTTTTAAAAATAGACATATATTTAAGCATTGAATAGTGTGATAGATAGTAAGTCACTGACAAAAACAGAAGCTTACTGCAGTACTCTCAACAGTATGCATCACTTGTAACACAAAATATGTTGTATCTCAGCTTTTATTTTTACCTGGAAAGAGTT